AGCTATGGGTCAACCTGAAGCAGCCCATTGGCTTCGACAAGCAGAAGCAGCCAAGGTATCTCAAGGCTCAACACTTTCAAGTCTGCCACAAAGACCCGCAAAGGCTGGTTGTGAGATGTCAAGCAGATCTCTTGACCTGCTGGATCTTTGTCGCTCATGCACCACACAGTGGACATACACGCACGGTCCGTCAGCAATGGTGGGAACAGACTGACTCCGTCATTGACACTTTTGGCGATGGTCTTCCGTGGCTCTGGCTGATCGATGCGAATGCTGAAGCAGGAGAAGCAGATGATATCACTGTTTTTGCCAGAGGTCTAGCGTCAAGTGCAAACACTGACCTATTCAAGGCATGCCTGCTTCGCAATGGACTGTGCCTGCCATCGACTATGGCCTGTCACGAGGGTCCACGATCCACCTGGACCAGCCCGGACGGAACTACGAATCACTGCATTGACTACGTCGCCATTCCTTCGGCATGGAGCACGTCTTGTACATATTCCAGCGTCATTGATACCTTGGATTTGTGCACGACCAATGATGATCATAAAGCGGTGGGAGTTCAATTAGCATGGACAACTGAAGAGTTGGTCCGGCCAGCGACGAAGCGATGTCCACGGCCAAACTGGCATTGCAAACAGGCTCGATGTAGCGTGCTGGAGAAGATCGAACTCATCACCACATGCCCATGGCACACTGATGTGGAGACGCAAGCATGCCATCTATCCGCTGGTCTACATGCCGCAATGAAGCATGGCCCGCAAGCCCAGCGTATTGCCAAGAAGCCCTACATCACGGAACAAATTTGGCAGTACAGAACACACAAGCTGCGGCTGAAGAAGTGTCTCAAGGAGGTACAAAAGAACATGCGACAACAAGCTTTGAGAGACGTTTTCAAGGCATGGCAACTTCAGAAGGTTGATGCCGTAAGCGAAGACCAAGCATCCTTGATCGTCTCCCTCCACTGCTCCAAACTCAAGTTGCTGGCGGCCTATCGAAACTGCTCCAAGAGACTACAAAAAGGCCTGCGAAATGCCAAACATGCACATTTGCGAGAGAGCCTTGAAGCTTTGGACACTTCGACACCGGCCTCTAGCATTCTCCGATGCCTTCGCAGCTATATTGGGCCTACCAATCCCAAAATGTGCAAAAAGAAGACTGTGCCGCTTGTTCACAACGAGGATGGGCAGCCTTGTAAGACGCCACATGAAGCTCTCAACACCTGGGTCGACTTCTTCAAGGATATGGAAGGAGGCGAACGAATCCCCCGTGAGGTCTTGAGACACAGGTGGAGAAACAATCTTTCCGAACAGCAACAAGTAGAAGTGCGGATCAGCTGTGCTGAGCTACCCACTCTCACAGATCTTGAGATTGCACTACGCTCCACCTCCTGTGGCAAAGCTAGTGGAGCTGATGACATTCCTGGGGAATTGCTTCATCATTTCCCAGCGGCAATCGCAATCCAGATCTACCCGGCGTTATGGAAGCTGCTTCTACATGGCCAAGAAGACCTATCCTACAAGGGAGGAGTACTAGTTCAAGCCTACAAAGGACGAGGGGCCAAGCACCATTGTGCCTCCTTTCGCTCCTTATTGATCTCGAGTCAGATCGGCAAGGCAATACATCGAACAATCCGCACCAGTCAGGCGGACATCTTTGAGAAGTTCCTTCAAAAACAACAGGTGGGAGGCAAGCGACGCATGCCGGTCACCTATGGCTTGCATCAGGTCAGAGCACATCTTCGTCAAGCTCGTCGTCGTGGTCTTTGTGCAGCCATCGTTTTTGTAGACCTGACTGAAGCGTTTTATCGCATCTTCAGACCGCTCTGCATGAACAATGTCATCAGTGACGAGGCGCTCGCGGCTTTCCTCCACAAGCTCAAGATGCCCGAGTCAGCACTTCATGAACTATGGCAATTGTTGGATGGCCAAAATGCGCTACAAGCTGCTGAACTACCAGCACACCTCCAACGCAGCATCGCAGCCATCCACTGCAACACGCATTTTTGGATGAAGGAGCAGGATGACGTGGTGGAGACACAATTTGGTTCCAGACCAGGGGACCCATTTGCTGATGTGTGCTTCAGCTATGTATGGGCGCGTGTGCTCCTTCGCCTTCAGGACTATATGGAGCAGAATGGGCTGGCTGATTATTACCCCGTTCTGCCGCAGCTCCATCTGTTTGGGACCGAGCCAGCCTCTGGTTATGGTGATGAGCAAGCGACGTTCATTGGTCCGACGTGGATGGATGACACAGCGATCTGCCTTAGCAGTCCTTCAGCATCAGCTGTGATCTCCAAGGCCACACAAACGGCTGGAAGGCTACTTGAACTTTGTGTAGAACATGGGATGACGCCGAACCTCAAGCGAGGCAAGTCTGAAATTCTTCTCAGCCTACGTGGACCGAAATCTCGTAACCACAAAATTGAGCTCTTTGGACCACAAGCCTCATTGACGCTGCCGATCCTCACAGAGCACAAGGCCTACGCCATACCCATCACCAACAAATATCTCCATTTGGGAGGACTTCTTCATCATGGACCTGATCAACGCACTGAGGTGAAGCGCAGGCTTGCTCTGGCCCATGCTGCGTTCAACCAACATCGAAGAGTTCTATATCACAACCAGCAGATCCCACTGGCCAAGAGATGTGAATTGTTCCAAGTTCTCATCATGACCAAATTGCTCTACGGCTCAGAGAGCTGGCTTATTACTGATGACAGGACAGTGAGGACATTCCATGTGGCCATCATCAAGCTGTACCGCAGACTTCTGAAACTGGCGGTTGATCAACGTTGGTGCACAGATAAGATCCTTGCCACCATCGGGATGCCGTCACCTGATACTCTGCTACGACGACAGCGCCTGCGATACCTTGGCACACTCTATCGATGTGGGACGCCGCAGGACTGGGGCTTCTTCTCGGCAGACAGCGAGTGGTGTGCCTACATTGAGAATGACCTTGAATGGATGTGGAAGCAGCTGCAACGCAGTTCAGCCTTACCTGATCCGCGGCTTGACTTTGCCCATTGGCATCGAATCATCCTGCAGTACCCAAAATTTTGGAAGCGCCTGATTAGACGCGCCACTGAGCATGAGATCATGCAGCACCAAAGACTGTGGAAGGTCAGGGAATTTCATCTTCATGCTTTTGATCGCCTCCAAGTTCTCTTCCGATTTGACTCTACATGGGAGCGCTCGGATGATGAGCCTGAGAACAAGGAGAGATTTGGATGCCTTCAATGTCAAATCAGCTGTGCCTCCAAGGCAGGCGAAGCTGCACATATGTTCAAGCAACATGGGCACGTGGCATCTGTCAGAAGGTATTTTGAGGAACCTGTCTGCCCAGCATGCCTTCGTGTCTTCCATACCATGCAAAAGACCAAAGCGCATATCCATTATTCCGAGCGATGCCGACAACTTCTGCAGAGCAGAACGCCAGTCTCAACCATCGCACCTGGAGCAGGATCAGCGCTTGACAGAACGCTCACTGATCAACACGATCGACTACTGCCACCTATCCAGGCAGAAGGGCCGCAAAATCAAGTTCCGCGTTTAAGGGAGGACCCGAAGATCAACCATGACTTCTTTGTCTTCCTGACTGACATCGTAGGGCCTAGCATGTGCTTGGCGACCTTCGAGCAGGCTGTGCGGACCTTTGCCACAGACAACCCTATCTCCTGGACTTTATGGTGGCGCACCCTTCGGTTCTTTGAGGACGCCTTCACTGAGGAAGACGCCCAGTTCGCAGAGATCTCTGTGCATGAGATGAGGGAGACCATTGGGAGGCTTTGCCATTCGGAAGCCTTCCCGTTTCTGGCGGTCTCGAAACAGAAAGAAACGAAGGTTGACAGCCTTGAAGTTTTGGAAAAGAAATGCCAACACTTTTTGACGGCTGAGCCCCTCGAGCCTAGTCCGGTGAGCTTCGGACGACATCGCGTGCTATTGCACGCATACTCTGGTCGTCGTCGGCCCGGAGACCTGCAGTTCTTCTTGGAAAAGTTCCACGAGGCGCAGGACAGGGAAAGCTATGTGTTACACATAGTATCCATGGACATCGTCATTGACACCAAGTACGGCGATGCTCGCAATGAGGGTACCAGGGATTACTGGCTTGGTGCAATTCGCGACCGCAAAGTTGTCGCATTTGTGGCCGGTCCGCCTTGCGAGACATGGACGGCAGCCAGAGAGCACCAACTTGACAACGGCAAACCAGGGCCACGCCCAGTCAGAAGCGCAGAAGAACTTTGGGGATTCTTTAGCATGCAGCTACGAGAACTCTGCCAAGTGTGCGTTGGGAACGAGCTCCTGATTTTTGCGTTGCAGGCCTTCATCGAGCTGATCATCACAGGAGGTTGCGGTCTGCTCGAGCATCCAGCACCGCCACCGAAGCCGACTTCGCCCAGCATCTGGAAGCTGCAGATCGTACAGACCCTGCAGGAACATCCTGACGTTGAGACGTGTCGCTTTGCTCAAGGGCTTCTTGGTGCACCGACACCTAAGCCCACGCAGCTCCTGCTCCTCAATATGCCTTGCATGATTTTAGCTCTTCACCAATGGCGCGTGTGCAGAGAGCTTCCACGTAGCTCTGCCATTGGTTTAGATGAAAAAGGGTCATGGCGCACAGCGCCCTTGAAAGAGTACCCACCGGCGATGTGTGGAGCCGTGGCTGAGGTACTGACCCAAAGAATTCGTTCCATCCCAGTCGGCCCAGCACAGAATCCGCCACAGTCAGACCTTGAGCTTTGGGCCCGCTTGTGCGTGACGCACTATGGCCAGCACATCGGTTCTGATTTTGCTGTGAAGCGGTGAGCCCCTGGGCATGGAACTTGCATTAGGCCGCTGCTGATAAGCAACTGGTAGCCTGGAGAAAAAAAAAATATATGTATATATATATATATATGCTAACATGACTGGGGTATATTGATGGATCCTATGTCATCATATATAGCAGCACCATGGATCCTATGGCTATGTTTTCTATGCGCAGATTTCCGGCAGGTCCTCCGTGACCCAAGAGCATCGAGTCCTTCAGCGGCGCTTGATTTATATGGAGGCACTACGAGTTGATCCAGGAATTTCTATGTGGTAAGATTTTGAATAGGATGAATAGGATCCATATGAATCAATGATGTATATCAATGATGTATATCAATAGTATATCTGTGGCATCAATTATGTATCCAAGTGATGTAAGATTCAGTATCCACATGTATCCAAGGATCAGTCGCTGGGAGTCAGCTGGGTTTCTGGGGCGGTGATCCCAAGATTCCCCCTTGACAAACCAGGGGTTTTTGTGAAACACCAAGGGGATGGTGGTGGATGGTGAATATGATATGTATAATATATAATATGTATAATATCAATATGATATGTATATATTGATTGGGTTTACCATGGTCAGGGGATCAAATTGATCAAATTGATGAAATGCTGTTAGATGGTCAATGATGGTCGATCATTGAGGCAGAGATGGGATTTGATGGGATCAGCATCTATACATCAGCAAATGCATCGCAAATGATTCAGCAAATGTTGCATTGGCGCTGAAACATGTCACTGTTCCTCTAACGAATGATAAAATGGTCGTATGCCTTTTTTCTGAGACCTACCACTGTTTTTCTGAACATGTTTCTGGGACGGGCCAGCATTGTTTTCACTTTTTAAGCGGGGCAGTTGCGGGCAGATGTTACTGTATGAACTATGACTATAACAATATCCATGGAAAAGCGTGAAACCAGGAGTTGGTCGCTATGAATCAAAATGAATTCATGTTTCTCTTTCTAGATTCCAGATGGATCATGTACAACAGTTGGATGATTATATATGATTACATATGATTATATATGATTCTATATGATTACATATGAATATATTTATGATTACATATGATTTTATATGAATGATTATGAGTGTATATATATATAGGGAGGATGGTAATCAATCCATCATCAATTTATATCGCCATGGACCTTTCTCCATCGCATCGCGCCGCGCAGTCCGAGCTCAGAAAGATCGTCAACGGTGCCGAGGAAACTGGGTTCGAAACATGTCGAAGCCTGTTTTCTGCTGGAAATAGCCTCTGGATCCCTCTGGTAAACATACAAAAAACTATGGAAAATCACCATTTTTATCCATTTTTAATGGGAAAACTCACTATAAATGGCCATTTTCAATAGCTATGTTAAATTACCAGAGAGTATATGACATTTCAAGTTCATTCAAGTTTCAGTGAAAATTAAATGCCTGAAAAATTCATGTAACGTTGTAAGAAACCCTGGACTCGTCAGATTTGTCTAAATCCCCATTTCTTGCGTTCACTGGAATTCAGAATAACCAAACATGATGACATCGTAGGCAGGTTGCAACATCATACATATGAGCAACCGCTCCCACTTGAGAATAGTCGGTGGCTCAAAAAATCTCTGTGAATGCCAAACTTAAAAATATGGCGAATAACTGTAATAGCCATATACTGTAATATCCCAGCCCATTAAAGTGGCAAAATTACAGTATAACATATGGCGAATTGTCAAATACTGTAATGTTAACCCAGGATGCGTGAACTCCCGTCGATAGGGGGGGGCTGGTAATTTTGATCGTAGAAAAATCCGGAATTGAAATTAAGAGCAAGTTACTTCTGTTGCTCACATTTCCCACTATTTCTATGTCCCATGATATATACAAGAATTGTATCAAATTTGACTACCATGACTTTTCGTGATTGGTCAAATTATGCTTGGTGATCCCATTATTTCTCAATATACCCATTGAAAAAAACAAGATGAAGCCCACGAACCCGAATGCTCACACGTATGTTAATGGTACAGATGTCAAAACACATGGTTATGCAGTCACGCACAATATCTTTCTGCAATAGTTTATATTTGAACAGTCTTGTACATGTTTCCCCTGCTACCAGTCTGCAGTGTGGGGTGGAAAGTGTAGAGTGTGGAGTGTGGAGTGTGAAGTGAAGTAAGGAGTGTGGAGTGTAAAGTGTGGAGTGGGGAGTGTAGAGTGTGTAAAGTGTAGAATGCGGAGTATAAAGTGTAGAGTGTGGAGTATGGAGTGTAAAGTGTAGAGTGTGGAGTCTGGAGTGTACAGTGTGGAGTGTAAAGTGTGGAATGAGGAGTGTAAAGTGGAAAGCGTGGAGTGTAAAGTGTAACGTGTGGAGTGTAGAGTGTAGAGTGTGGAGTGTAAAGTGTGGAGTGTGAAGTGTGGAGTGTAAAGTGTGGAGTGAGGAGTGTAAAGTGTGGAGTGTGGAGTGTGGAGTGGAAAGTGTGGAGTGTAGAGTGTAAAGTGTAGAGTGTGGAGTGTGGAGTGAGGAGTGTAAAGTGTGGAGTGTGGAGCGAGGAGTGTAAAGTGTGGAGTGTAAAGTGTGGAGTGAGGAGTGTAAAGTGTGGAGTGTGGAGTGTAAAGTGTGAAGTGTGAAGTGTAAAGTGTGGAGTGTGGAGCGTAAAGTGTAGAGTGTGGAGTCTGGAGTGGAAAGTGTAGAGTGTTGTGTGTAGAGTGTGGAGTGTGGGGTGTAAAGTGAGGAGTGCAAAGTGTGGAGTGTGGAGTGAGGAGTGTAAAGTATAAAGTGTGGAGTGTGGAGTGCGAAGTAAAGTGTGGAGTGTGGAGTGCGGAGTGTGGAGTGGAAAGTGTGGAGTGTGGAGTGTGGTGTGTAAAGTGGAGAGTGTGGAGTGTGGAGTGAGGAGTGTAAAGTGTAAAGTGTGGAGTGTAAAGTGTGGAGTGCGAAATGTGGAGTGGAAGGTGTAGAGTGTGGTGTGTAGAGTGTGGAGTGTAAAATGTGCAGTGTGGAGTGTAGAGTGTAAAGTGTAGAGTGTGGATTGTAGAGTGTAAAGTGTAGAGTGTACAGTGTAGAGTGTGGAGTGTAAAGTGTAAAGTGACGAGTGTAAAGTGAGGAGTGTAAAGTGAGGAGTGTAAAGTGTGGAGTGTGGAGTGTGGAGTGGAAACTGTGGAGTGTAAAGTAAGGAGTGTGTAGTGTAAAGTGTGGAGTGTAAAGTGTAGAGTGTGGAGTGTGGAGTGTACAGTGTAGAGTGAGGAGTGAGGAGTGGAAAGTGTAGAGTGTAGTGTAAAGTGTGGAGTGTGGAGTGTAAAGTCTCAGGTGAGGAGTGAGGAGTGTAAAGTGTAAAGTGTGGAGTGTAAAGTGTAGAGTGTGGAGTCTAAAGTGTAAATTGTGGAGTGTGGAGTGTAAAGTGTACAGTGTGGAGTGCGGAGCTTCCCCCATAGACACGGCGACGCCACAGGAAAACCAGAGACTCGAGACGAGACACGTGGGTGCAAAAAAACGAGCATTTCGTGCGAGACTTCCTCCAATTTTGATATTTTCCACATGTTATCAAACAGGTTGGAATGTCACAAAGTGCCACGCCTGCCACGCAAAACGACAGGACAACCTGCTTGGAAACATTCGAAAAGGTAAGGTTTTCCAGCTTCCCCCATAGACACGGCGACGCCACAGGACAACCAGAGACTCGAAACGAGACACGTGGGTGCAAAAAAACGAGCATTTCGTACGAGACTTCCTCCAATTTTGACATTTTCCACACGTTATCAAACAGGTTGGAATGTCAGAAACTGCCACGTCTGCCACGCAAAACGACAGGACAACCTGCGTGGAAACATTCGAAAAGGACAGGTTTGCCAGCTTCCCCCATAGACACGGCGACGCCACAGGAAAACCAGAGACTCGCGACAAAACACGTGGATGCAGAAAAAACAGCATTTCGTACGAGACTTCCTCCAATTTTCACAGTTGGCAACATGACAAAAGGACAAGTTTGCAGCTTCCCCCATAGACACGGCGAGGCCACAGGAAAACCAGAGACGCGAGACGAGACAGGTGGGAACACCAAAACGAGCATTTCGTGCGAGACTTCCTGCAATTTTCACACTTTGTAGCTGCAAAATCGACGTTTTCCTACGAGTTTTCCTTAGAACCTGAAAATTTGCAACCTCAAAATCGATGTTTCGTGCGAGGCTTCCGTCAATTTTCACCACATCGCACAAAATGCCACGCCTGCCACGGAATTTGCACCTTGTCGCCATTTGACGCAGCCCTGCCAATGCGATTTGCAAAAAACACTCAACACGACACGTCTAAAGTGGTGCGCCTGCCACGAAAAATGACGATGCACACGTCCAAAGTGCTGCGCCTGCCACGAAAACTGCAACACATCTTCTGAAAATGCCACAAAAGTATTGCGCCTGCCACGTAAAACGACTTTCGACACGTTGCAGAACACGTCTGAATGTCACGAAGTGCCACGCCTGCCACGCGAAACGAAGCAACGACACGTCTGAAACCTCCAAAAATGACCACCTCTGCAGAACTTCCCATAGGCACGGCCATACGGAGTTCGTACGAACGGTTGCGGACGGTTGCGGACGGTTGCGAACGGTTGCGACCGTGAACGCAACGTCGAGCGAACAGACCCTCAACCCCCAGACCCCCAGAGTGAAACGGGAACCCTTGCTACGCATTCGGGAAAAACCTAGCTCGACCTTGGTCGCCCTGACGGCCGAGGAGCCGAGCCAAACACCTCGAAAGTTGCAGGACTTGTTGGGAGAAGCGTCCCTGAAGTGTTCGAGGATTTTACCGAAATCATATCAAATATGGTGAGTTTCCATAGCTCTGTTAATAATGGGTAGTAGAGGTATAATTATTATAACGGATTAATTTTGAAAAATTGGAATAGTATTACTCTATATATAACTACGGCAACGCCCTTTAAATATGTGAAGGGCAGGCCAGACCGCGAGGCCCAGGAGGTAGTATAAAATACCAATTCATATATCTATATAAATGTAGTTACCGTATGTTGAAATGAATCGGATTCCGTATATTTAAATGGCCGGACTGGCCAAGGAAAACCTTCCCGGAGGTAGTCTTAAAAAACTGTTCGTATATTTTAACATCCGTATATTTCCATGTAGTTGCCGTACATGATATGACATAATATTTGGGTAATCCAGCCAGGATCTTATTTTCAGGTCGCTGAATTATTCCACTTCAGACTGGAGAATTATCACATCATGCCCGTGCCCAAGTGACATTGCAGTTCTGTTGCATCCCCCATTTTCTCGGCAAAACCATGTTCCATGTCCACGTATCTGGGCAAGTTGGGTTTCCGAGTGACTGGCCAAACTCAGCACAGATAATGGTTAGCGAAGAGTATACAAGACAATCGACCCAAAATAGTTTTCAATCGGGTTTGTAAAATACTACAATATGTCCGATGCCAAATAGAATCATCAAGGACATGTACCATCATGTACTCCAAAAATAATACCAATGTAGGCATTTATATACCATACATGGATGGTATAGTATGTCTCAGCAATCCATTTCTTCAGGACGCCGGAGAAGTTCAAGACGATGTGATGTTGTTGTCACCGTTGTCACCTAGCCTGGCTAGGCCCGAGACTCAGTGGATTCCATGGCTGTTCACCCAGCAGTGATATTTGGATTCCCATCATGGGGTGGATGACCATCTTTTGACCATGGCACACATGCTTATAGAGTCTGACAGAATCTTATACATATATATCATCATATATAGATATGTTTGGATGTAGACATCCAGCACGCAAATGTGTTTGTGTGTGTGTGTGATAATATTAATATATATATATTATTTTATATTATATATTATATATATATTATATATATGTATATAATAAATATATATATATATATGTATATTAATCATGAGCGTGTATATGTCGATGTTATACATGCAGATACTAGGTGATATGATGCACATATCACATATCTAGTTTGTTTGGAAGCTGACTTTGCTATGTCTCGTTATTGTTTCTTGTGTTTTGTGTATTTTGTATGTCTCGTTTGTCTCGTATGCAACAAGAAAGGGTGGTTTGTGAGGGGAACCACCTCCAATATATCCCCAAATGTGTTTTTAATTCTGGTGAAATCTTATAAGTCAGCAGAATTGTACATGATCTTTTGAGTCCGCAGCTCATGAATACTGATTTGCAATGTGATACCCTCTGGTAAACTAACATAGCTATGGAAAATCACCATTTTTAATGGGTAAATCAACTATAAATGGCCATTTCCAATAGCCATGTTAAACTTAGCATGTTCGTTCGGTACGTTTGGGCGTTCAGAACGCGCGTTTTAAAAACTCGCGTTCCAGAACGCGCGTTCTGAGTGAATCCTTTTTTCCAATGATATAATGTCAATTTATTTCCGGGATTTGAACAGAGAAACCTGTTTCCCCCACAAAAAAAAAAGATGTGGAGCTCTTGTGGGCTCAAAATGGTAGATGCAGCCACCAGAAGGCTGATCAGCGATCTGGGCCATGACTTGGACATTGATGGGATATGTTTGGATTGATAACTAAGTGGATAAGTGGATAAGAGTTAGTGGGAAGGGGATATATGAGATATTAAAAGGATTTTTCTAGGGTTTGATGTTGCTTTGTGTTGCTGAGAAGAACCGTTTGGACAAAAAGCCTTAGGTCGGGCAGGCCTAAGATGGAATCCTTTTTTTAGAGGCTTTAGAAAGCGCTGGGCAGGCCAAACACGGATCCTTTTTTTAGGGCCTTTAAAAAGCGCTCGGCAGGCCAAAGACGGATCCTTTTTTTGCCTGGTTTTAAAAGAATTGTGCAGGTTAAAGCCTGCAAGTTTTGCTCCTGGACTGCTTGAAAACTTCTTGAGAAACTCCATGTGCTAGAGTGGATCCTTTTTGCAGGAAGCAAAAAAAGGATTCGGACGCTTCTGGGATCCATATAAAACCACTAAAAACACCCCTGCGTTCGGAACACGCGTTCCAGAACGTACGTTTTGCGTTCTGCGTTGTGAACGTGCTAAGATGTTCAATTACCAGAGGGTACATAATTTATAATACCTAATTTTACACAAGTTCAGCCACATCCAACAACGTCTGCAGGTCTTTGGAGGGGCAGGCAGGGCAGGCAGGGACTTGTGCGCGGAGTGGCATCCAACATCAGTGATTCATGCTGATCCTTTCCCTGAGGAAAATGACTATACCGCCTTTTCGTTACTTAACATAGCTCTAGAAAATGGGTCATTTATAGAGGATTGATGATGATTTACGGGGTTTACCGATTGAAAATGGTGATTGTCCATAGCTACGTTAAATAACCAGATGGTAAGATGATTTAACATGGATCCAAGAGAAATCTCGATGTTGACAAATCATGTACATACTCCATGGTGATGTTTCCATGTCGCCTCTGGAGCAATTGGGAAGAATGTGAAACAGTTTGATATATGTCCAAGGCAACATGGTGAAGATTGGTGAAGGATATTTGCCCATGAGATCAAACATACAGATGCGATTTGTCAACCCTGGCTCCAGATTACAAGTTTGACGAATCCCAATCTTGAAACCGTGTCCATTCACGCCAGAAATTCAGCACTTTTGTATGTCTATGTTGTTGATCTAATTAGATGTAGATGTGGCTTGATGTGAGTCTATATATGCCAATCGAAGGTGGTAACGATGGGGATAGTGTGCTTGTAATCTATCAAACATCGGGGGGTAGCCGCTAGCCAGCATTCAAACATAACTAGCAGACATGTACCCCACGGAGGTTCAATCAACAAATGAATGGGGCATACCCAAGAGGATGTCATGTCTCAAAGCTTTGGACTGGCGAGATTGCACATTTAAAATCTGTTTTTTGACAGGCTAACCAGTGATTCGGGCGGTCCGTAGTTTATGAAGGACAAGTTCCGCAACTAGGCGAGAATCCAACTTAGTTACTTATGGCATTTTGCCCCTGTTTGGTATAAGACTCAAGACCATCTCATTTGCAACCTAAGGAACTAAGGACCCCCCACAGACGTTGTCTTTTGTTATTACAGTATGTTCAATATATTCATATATATATATTACGTGTTTAACTATCATTTTTTAATCATGTTTGGGTATCTAAGCTAGTTTTGATATATCTGACCTGCATCATAATAAATTGGCGAATCCACAAACGTCATGGTTGTTGTGACAATCCAAATGAGTTCTATTCAGCAGGAATGAGACTATTGAACAAAGCCATGGAAGCCATGGCCCATTTGCAATATATAATTAGTTCATGTTAGTTCGATGATTTCCCTAAATTGTGATGTTCCATAGCAATATGCTAAATTCCCGGACGCCTGCGCTGGAAATCACAGATGGAAGTAGATCCTGTGGGCTACCTGCCGTGCGGTTGCCCTGTCTCCTGCCGGGGCAGTAGGGGTTGTATATTTGTATGAATGCTGGACGTTGTCATGCTTGGTACATGAGGATGTGGCCGTGTGTGTGGAAATGGTGTATCTATATTATCCAAATAACACGTTTTTTTATTCGAAGATTATGATTATCCAGCGGATGGAATGGAGTATCCAATTTTCAGACAACCCCAGATGAGGATATGCAATTCCTCAGCTGCTTCTTTTAGTAGCCTGTGCAGAGCAGTTATGGGCCCCATCATCAACTTTGTAACGTTGGTTGAAGGGCTATCAATAGAAGGCGTTCCATGAGAGTCATTACCGAGACTACACAAACAAATGACATCAAATAACTTATGCAGATTGATCGGATAGATTTTACAGAGGAGCACCTCGAGTATGATTTGGTCATTGACCAAGTTGTTTGATTGGTGGTTTCAAGCATAGATTGAAATCTATTTATCCTGCCTATGATGATTACTGGATGTGGATTACCTATGTGGCTGTTTAACAACGACGCTCAGCTCCAGAGGACCATCCCAGGAATGATGCCATCAATAGAACGATGTTGAGTTATTTCTGGTTGCTGTTTTTTTTTTCGAATATTTAGTGTTCAAGCATACTTGGGATGATTGGTTGAAATGACTATATGACATTATATAACTACATATTGATACATATTGTATATAACTACATATATATATATACATATACGCATAGTCTATATATGTCTATATATAATATATAATGTTTTTGCGGATTGGTTGAATTAAAGTCAACGAATCCAGTTTTCATTATTGTGTAGCTTGGTCAGAAATCCCAGCAAAATGGCGCTGAGGGGAAGCGTTGGCCCTATGGAGGCGCTTTAGACGCTGACATTTCACTGCTGGGAGACTGACATACTGTGGGTGGTTGCGAAATCCTGCACCAGTTGGTAGATGGTTTGTCCCATCATAATCCCATTATTTGCAGTGTTTCATAGCTACCAATAGATACCAACTGGTGCAGGATTTCTTGCATCCACACTAGTAGGTAGTGGTGAAAGAAAGACATAGAACAAACATGAACAAACACAATGAACAACCTAGGAAAAGCATAGAAAATAAATCTAAATATGATAAGTATGGTCATTTGCTTTGGACAATTCGGTGCAGACTCCCCGATGTTTCTCTGCTGCAACTGCTTTCGTAGGCGCGGCCTACAACGCCTACCCTAGCAGAGGCGGGATCCATGGGATATCATGGGATGGGGAACATGATTCACTAGTTACTATATGTTACTATTCACTAGAAACACCACAATTCTTCACTCGAATTATATGAAATAGTGTCATTATCATTATATTTCTAGAATCATTCTAGAATAATATGTGGATTCACTAGAATTATAATACTATTATAATTACACAGATCAATGATATAGTCCATAGATGTCCATGGTTTCCAGCATTTTGTCCACCGCCAGGTGAGAAGCCACTCGGCCATCACCACTGATACCGAGGGATGGCTTCAAGAGGTCCTCCGGCAAAGCTATTAGCGGAGATTGATGTGACGTTATCTCATATGTAGTCTACATTGAGCTTAAGATATATATATATATATATAATAAGATATGTTATATAAATCTATATAAGATATGATTATATATATATATATGATCTATTGTATATCATGAGTGATATTATCTATCGTTTTTCATGGGACATTGTATATAGATTATGTTTATGTTTAGATGTATGCACATCATATACAGCATTATGTACATCCATAACTATATATGTATATACATACATTTATACACACAGTATACTGAATTATCCATGCGATGCACATGACACTTAACTGTATGTTTCATTTTTGATTATAGACATGGTCAGTCGATGGGTATGGAGAACGACATTTCACTTTGAGACCAAAGGCACAACATTCTGCCAACTTCAGCACTATATATATATATACACATACATACATACATACATACATACATACATACATACATACATACATACATACATACATACATACATACATACATACATACATACATACATACATACATACATACATACATACATACATACATACATACATAAGATATATATATATATACATACATATAGATATTATATATATATATGTATACATGTGTTGATGCCGATTCACGGTCTGGCATGGTTTAGCCCATCACAGGAATCACTATCTGTTTAGAACCAATCCCAAACTGATTTCCAAGATTTTCCAACCCTGGTTGAAGCCATGGAACCCCCACCATATTTGAGCTCCGCTCGTCGCTGGGAGGTGCCCACAGAGCTCCTCTTTCACATCCTAAAGGCCATGGCGTTTGGTGTTTGAGTCATGACTCGTCTGCTTTTTCATGTATATATATATATATACTGTATATGTTTCTTTTGGTTTAATTATATACAGTAAATCTTAAATAGTTCAGACCAGTCATATCGAGATGAACCCACTCGTACTCACATTTCTTTGGTTTGCTGGAAAAGCATCCCATGTAGAACTTATCAGCTGGTTGAGAACCATAGAACCATAGTGCGCATAAGTTCAAAGGATGCCTCAATCGAGGGATTGTCTAATTTGACATGCTTACTAAACAGCTTTCCAATTCCGTCATCCCAGCAAGCTTGTATCAAGCGGGTTTTGAGATTCACATGCGATATGATACAGTGATACAACAGTGATACATCTACATTTGGACAGGGTTCAACGGGTTTGGCTGACCCAAAAGACACCAGTTTGGTACTGTGAAAATCATATCAACCACAGATAACTCAGATAGCCACCGTTTTTTAGGGGCCAATCTTTCTCCCCATTCCCAGAAAAAGCCATGGTTGACACCTTGCTCAGATCCGCTCACTTGGGGACCAGGAGGCGTCGATGGGGATACCAACTGGATCCAACTGGTAACTGGGGAACCACCCTGTAAGAACTTCATGTAAACGATGGTTTGATAGTCATAGGAAACCATCCCTGTACATAACCTAATGTCAGACTGGTGAGCTACTTTATTTCATCCAGATCCTGTTGACAGGCTTTTCATGGCCAATAGAAAACGGTGATATGTGATAGTGACCAGTTTAAGAATGGGGATAGCTTCATGTTGGAGACAAACAACAGACACCAAGCAGCAACAGTATGGCTTTTATGCAACGGTCAGGTCCAACTGGGTAGCCTAAAAAAAGAGGATAGTTTCCGATCTCCTCCAGAGAGACTTAGCCATGCAATTGCCAATTGGCATTCTCAAGTGACAACGCATTTTTCAATGGATTGGTTTAAGGGAAAATTTACAGGAAACCATAGATTTTCCCATTCAATATGGGGTTTTCCTGTAAATTTTCCCTTAATCCAATCCATTGAATTTTGAACCATTCCGTCTTGTTGTTGCGCCTTGTACCCCCTTCACACACCTACCTTGCACCCATCCCATCACCAGGAATGAGAGCAGTGCAGGCCAAGATCGGGTTCGGCCCACGCTAAGTTTCGCACGATTTGTTGGTTATGGGGGCATGCATTGCATGTTTTCGCTGTGTTTTGTAACTTGGGATTGTCCTTCCCTGTTTGACTCAGGGGTTCCCGAAATTTGTATCAGAGCACCAACCAACACGTGAATGAAATGGTTGAGGAGGAAAAAGAAAACCTGTTGGGGGTCGTTTGGGGGCGGTCCTCCATGATCCACAGTATTCATGATCATCATGATTTTCGCCTAATTTTTGGCAGATCTGGCATCTGGTGGTCATTGACGTACTGCATTTCTAAACCCTTTCCCCCATAAACACCCCCAGAAACCAGGGTGAATGTAGGTGATTTACACATATGATGCAGCTATAGGCTGTGTTTCGTATTTGTTGTTCACGAAGTTCACTTTTCTGTAGGGGGTAGTTGTGAGATGTCCCAATTCTTTGTTTTGACTTCAGAGTTTTGGATGGATTGAAGGTACAGACTAGGTCAACGGATACCATGAGGTAAAGATCATCTACAGTACGTATATGATATTATAATTATATACGTATTTGATATTTTATATATATACTATGTTTTGTTTTTTTTTTACATAAATTATATATATGATATATAATTGAATCATATATATATATTCATATGCATGTATGCATACATACTGTACGTCATATGTATATATATATATAATATAGATATATAATGTATATATATATACAATATATATATAATATATTTTATGTATACACATATCTTATCCGCGATGCTGCTTGGATATTGGTCCACGAGGCGGCTGGACGTTCCGCCAAAGGCCTTTCCGACGGATGCTGAGATGCCGTGGGGATGTCTAGATGTCTAGATGTCTTCTTAGGATTAGATGGATACAACATGATACTATAAAAGTACATTGTTTATTATGCTGTATCTATAATCATTGTATTTTAATTGTTTCTATTATCTAGACATCTAGTTTATAATTATACCCTCTGGTAATGACTAACATAGCTATTGAAAATGGCCATAGAAATAGTGAGTTTTCCCAGTAAAAATGGGGATTTTCCATAGCTATGTTAAATTACCAGAGGGTACATTGCTTATTATGCGTATCATTGTTTATTATGCGTATCATTGTTTATCCAAACATCTTCTAATCCTAAAAAATGATAACATCATGATAAAAGATGATAAACAATGATAAGCATAATAAAATGATAAACAATGTTTGGATAAGTATCTATTTCCCACATGGTTACATCTCCATTGTTTTGATAGATGGATGAAATATGATGAGATGTCAACTCTTTGCATCTTTTACTTTGTTTGTGCTCGCTCGTTTCCAATCATTAGCCTTCCAGATGGCTTATTTTGGAGGGTGACTTCCTTGGTTTGGTCAGGTAGAATGATGTCCTCTGCCACTGCCATTTGTCGTCGCGTTTTGCACCTGAAATTCCCACAGTAGCGCTGGAAGACTGGACTGCTTCACATAAAGCATATCACCACAAAACATCAAAATCACTCTGGCATGCATGGTTTACTCTGGAATCTCTACATCTTTGTCTCCGCATATAAACACTGAGTTGGGGTTAGGGACTGATGGACTGATGGCCTTCAATTACCTCAGTGGGTTCAGCACTGGTAATGTCAACTAATGTCAACTTGGATACCTCTGAAACAATAAACATGTTTGATATCGTTTGATCCATGCCGTTTTTGTGAGACACCAACCCTAAACCCCAAACCCATCACATCACAGGCGTCTCAACGTCCGCCGCAATTGCCAACGAAGAGCCCAAGAAAACCGACCGATGGGGCAATTGGGAGTACTGGTAGCGGTGATCCACCCCGGACCCCATGGCCACTAGAGGGAAAATAATCTGGTTGGTGGTTTGGAACAGTTTTTATTTGTTCATATATATATATATATTAGGAATAATAATCCCAACTGACTCATATTTTTTAGAGGGGTAGGTATACCACCAACCAGTAATGATACCACCTATATTTTATATTTGATTTTAGGGTAACCCCCAATTTTGGACGAAACTCAATTGGAGTTTTTTTGGATGTGGAAGCCTCGGGATATGGGCCTGGGATGACCTGAATCGAGAGTTGAGACAGCACCTGCAAGCTGCACATCCCAGGATTGATTTTGGAATGAGCATGTATAAACTAACAAAACTATTGAAAATTGCCATTTATAGTTGATTTACCCATAAAACTAGTGATTTTCCATAGTTATGTTAGTTTACCAGAGGGTATCAAGATTTCTTTGACATCACCGTTTCGGCTACAGGGCCTGCCAGATCGTCATAGCATGTTGTATTTTGTTATCAAAATGGGTATGGGTCAATACCTATAGATACCATTTTTGGTGGGATGAACATCCATAAATCCCAGCTATGACTTGGGGTGAACAAAAGGTACCAGGGTTTTGACCCATCCATCCCCGAATCTTGATGAACTCAAGAGATTCCGGGCTTTATGACTTAGTCAGGTGAGCGGTCAGCCCCCTGCAAAGATTCCCCGAGTTTCTTAGTCCTTTATCACTTGGTGGTGTCAGGAGCACCAAGTTAGGGGAAGATTTATAGGAATTCCCTTAAACTGGTCATATTATGTGGGAAAATCCATCAAAAATCCATGGTTCCCTATAGATTTCCCACCAATCCATTGAGGAGAATCAAGCAGTCAACATCAGACATTGAGTAACTGACCATAAACAGATTATGCAAGAAATAAATCAATCTGTTGGGCCAAACGGAAATTTGGACCCCCAAGCCATGTTCCTTCCAGGTCCTTCCTTGACCCTCCGCAGGTCTTTGATTTTTCAAGATCCGCTGGCGGCAGCGGCAAGTGATGCACCCCAGGTGAACTGTGTGGGGATGACCTTCTCTGCGCTGTATCTTTGACTGGAGTAATTCTGGAAAACAAGTGGTACATTTTGGGTTGGTCGGCTTGGTGGTTGCAAGATGTTGTGAGTTGTATCTCAGGAAAAGAAAACCCCCAAATTGTGTTCCGAACGGACCCAGATCTTCCAAACTTTGCATTTGGATGCAACCTGAGTTGGCAACCTCTTTTTGTTTTTTAATCCAGCCCTCAGATTCCATCCGCAGAACACTTTGAGGTTCCTCCCTTTCAGTGAGACCATCGAGCTGGCCAAACGCTACGATTTGCCTCTGGTGGGCTATGTGACAGCCTAAGATCCATGGAATTCTCCGATGCGGCGTTTTGCATAGGTTTTCCAGAAATGGGGCTTGAATAATCTTGAATAACACGCTCTCCAAATGTGAGTTCAAAATATATGTATGAAAATGATTGAAAATGTCTGGAAATATGTTCGTGTCCTTAGTTCCTTACAGACTCTTACAGTCAGATCATTTAGGTTTCGCCGGCAACCAGTTTCTGGCCAGTTTCCGGCATGTGAATCAAAGGGTCCAATCACTGGCACGAATCTGACCTATCCAGCCATAACTGGGATGGATCCGGGCCAAAAAGCACTGAGGATTACCGGGAAAAGCTGTGCCCTGAGGACTGCAATCAGCTGGAGTTCTATTGGTTGGGCTCTGATTGGGCCATGCTATGCCCTAAATTTAGCAAACCAGAACACACATGATGATTTTCCGTGATTTTCCATGTAATTATGCGACATGCCGGACGGTGGATGAAAAAGGGAGATGTCTGGTGTTACATTTTGTAAATAATGTCAGGTTTCCACGCCATATGGTGAACCATTGTCAGTGAGAATCTACTATGTACAGAACCTGCACCTTTGTGAAAGCATGAGCACTCCACAGGCACATTGCGGGACATTGCGCTTTCGATTTCCGGAAAAGGTTTTGAACCGTTGAAGCCTCATAATTCGATGGATATCCCAACGTCCCTCTTTGATGTTTTTGATATCTTGGATCCATTTGGACCATGTGATGGAAAACCTGGTCCTCCTTGATATTCACCATTATTTACATGCTTGTCCATTTGCTTATATTAACTATCATGAAACCCAACCATATCATTTTCCTTGGAACAAAAAAGAATGGCTGTAATATAAAATTAAAAAAATAATCGAACCCTTTTTTGTCCCGAAACTATTCAGCTCTGCTGCAACAAGAAAACTCTTGCAGCTAAATTTATAAGGAATCCCTCGACATGACTTCATCGACCTGTGATTAAACTATCAAAGGTTTCTGTGCATGTGTGGATGCCCCGAAAATCCTTCATATGAAAGCCATATGAAAGCCATATGAAAGCCATATGAAAGCCATGGTTTGCTTCATATGAAACATGATGAAAGCCTCTAATCTCCGATGGCCATCGCGCCAGGAGATTTGGTCAGACCTCAGTGCTGCCCAGACGCGTCACTATGCCACGGCAGCTGCGCTGCTGGAAGGTGGGACGATGTCACGCTGATTTGACACCTCCATTTGCATATCATTCGACACATCAAAAACAATGATGATTGTTTAAAACTATGTTTTGACTTATTTTGATTTGTGATTGGATATGTGCTTTTTATTTGTTTTTCGAGGTTGGTAGGATAGTTGGAAGTGCAGTTCCAATTGTAAGTGAACATCTATGAAAATATGACCAGAGTCATGTATCGGGCTTATATCATATTATATCATGTTATATCCCAACTCATGGGGATTTATTTCACCCACCTGTTGTGGTTTATGGTGGTTGACCAACTTGTTTTGGATTTCACCATGTGAAGCGCAGGCTTCGTGGTCCGCGAGGCGGGGCCCGGCGGCCGCATCGCCAAAGCGCGAGTGGAGCAGCTGGCGGCCGCGGAAGCGATGGCGAAAGAGAAGACAGCTACATGGCGGGACAAAAATGTTGGTGACATAGGGAATAGCCGGGAATAGCCTCTGGTAAACTAACAGTTCACTATGGAAAATCATCATTTTGAATGGTAAACATACAAAAAGCTATGGAAAATCACCATTTTTATATAATGGGAAAACTCACTATTTCGACTGGGCCATTTTCCATGGCTATGTTAAATTACCAGAGGGTAATCGTCATAGGATATGAATGGAGTATGAATGTGGGATAATAAAGGTTATACGTTATATGTTCATGGGATCTGAATGGAATATGAACGGAAACCTGGTAGAATGGTGACCCTATTATGGGGATATCATGGTGAGATTTGAATGGAAATAGGATATAACTGGAATACAAATGGGATATGAATGGGATGTTAATGGCAAAAAATGGTGGTGAAATGATCTGAAATGGGGATGTAATTGATGTATGTATGTATGTATATATATAATGGCGATATCTTAATGGGATCAGAATGGTCATACAATATGGGGATAGCATGGTAATATTGAAATGGAACTATGAATGGAATATGAATGGAATATGCATAGACATCTATTTACACGCTGACATGGGATATATTGGTGATATGTTAATGGAATATGAATGGAAACATGGTGGTATAATGGTGGGATATTATGGTGATACAGTGGTGATTTGAACGAATATATAATAGGATAATTAACGGAATACGAACGGGATATCAATGGAATGTTGATGGAATATTCATGGAATATTATATAATGGAATATTTATGTTTGCGAATTTGGTGTTAGTGAAATCCCTTTGGTTGGTGAAGCATACCATTATTGTTGTTGGTTTTTACATTGCTGGTGTTTGACATATTCATGTTCCATCCCCTGGAAAGATGCACCAAAAACTTGTGCTTGCCATGTGGGGTTTCAATGTGTTTCAAATATGTCACTCTTCCATCCCTGACTGGTTTGAAAAACCCTGCATTGAGTCATTGAGTTGTCAAAGATTGTTGAGCTATCCAGTTGTCAGGAGCGGTTCGGAGCTAAGGGTGTCCAGATTCTTCCATATTTTATGAGTTTCCCTATGATATTATCTATATTTTATCCATATCCATTTATATTATGTCCGTATTACCCTATCATAGATATTATCCATATTTTAATATATTTTATCCATATCCATTTATATATATATGGTATTTATGATTGATGTCCGTTTAATAAACCTTGGTTTCTTCCCAAGCACATGACATAGAAACGCAACGTTTCTGCAACGTTCCGTGAAAATTTGCTCAGGACAGGTCATCCAAGGCTGGTTTTGGTTGGTGGACACAACCAGCAATGACTGGGTCTACCTGGCTTAATTTGGATATGATCATCAATCCTTAACATAACTATGGAAAGATCCACCATTTTTCATGGGAAAATTCACTATAAATGGTGATTTTCCATAGTTATGTTAGTTTAACAACGGAGAACCAAGATAAGACCTGGCTTATTAAAAAAAAAACGTGTTCCAATTGACACGTGTTTTTTCGGATGAGTTGAGACCTCCAAATCCAGGTCAGAGCCAGGAGTTTGATGACTTGGAATCATGGAACAGCAGTTTAGTTCGGTGGCAAACAGTGGCAACGTTTACCCTCTGGTTATTTAACATAGCAATAGAAAATGGCCCATTTATAGATGGTTTACCTATTAAAAATGGTGATTTTCCATGGCTATGTCAAATAACTAGATGGTGGGTGACTTTAAGCAACTCACACATACTTCATCAGCTTGCTTAGATTACTTATGTTCCATGAAACTGTTCCTAAACTTTGGCTTCATCACCATCATCTGCCATGGTTTCCCACTATGCAGGTCTTCAGGCCCCAAAAAAATATTGGCAGTTTTTACCGAAGCATAAATGTGGAAAACCCGTATCCGGTGTCCCAAGAAGAAAATGATCTGCAAATTCGGTGGATTTGTAATGAAGTTTCGTACAGGATGGTGCCCAGTGATGTTTGTTGATTTATAACCCCATCTAAATTCTAAATAGTAAGTATCATACACTAGTTATGTTACATATTGTTACTATAGTTATGTTCACCAACTTCGCAAACGAACCACTGGTTTCATCCGCAGGCATCGCCTGCGGCTGTTGCCCAAATGACAAGCTTCACTTCGGCAGACAGGTTGACAAGGCGCCCATCAGCTTGGCTGGTTGGTAAAATGTGTGGTTGGCACATGTTATATGGCACAGGGATGCACAGGATCCATGAATAGCCAATGAAGTGGTCATATTGATGATTGATTCACCAGTGATTTTTAAGGGTGTTTATCATCACCTGGAGACACTTTTGAGTCTGTTCACCTTTCATCTCAATGGGTTGCAGGTGGAACGTGCAACCGCTGCCAGGAACTACCTCGAAGAAATTGGATTGCTCTCTTATGTCCCCTCAGTGCCGTAGATGCGACGGGGAGGAATTCAACAGACACTACAAGGATCAAAAAAGCACCTGAGACGATAGGTGTCAGATGAAAACCTGATCCACGGAAAGTGTTTCTATCCATCCTCATCCACAGCAACCAGGACATCATTTCACAAGCTGATTGCTGTGCTACTTAAATCTACTTAGATCATTTAGATCATGTTGATTTTGGTGAGGATGCTACTGCCAAAAGTCACACCTGTTTGCTTAACTTGTCCATGATGATGGTTTCAATCATTTTCTCCAATCATTTGGAAAACGCTTCTTTCTCATGGTTGACAGGATGATTCTGATTTGCTACCAGCTTCGATCATCATCAATCAGAACAGATAGGACATATATATATATATATGCATATAATTACAGTGTTTTGGATTGTGTGTTTACGACCCCCGCAGGGATTACTTCAAGTCTGCTGGATTCCCGGCCCGAACGGCGTAACGAGATGTGGCGGCCGAGCAGTGCGTCAAAAAGGCATTGGTGTCAGCCACTTTTGACAGACACACTTCGTTTTCCGCAAATGGTGGATGATCGAATCAACTGGAAGCATGGAGATCCGATTCAACGTGGCAAAGGTGGTGAAAACCTCTTGTACCAAAAGCTTAACATCAGCTATTCTCAGGGTCTTTTCAAACCCATCATGGCTGCAGACCGCTACAAAAACTGCCATCAAGTTCTTGACCGTTTCGAGAGGGTTTACACAAAGCGTAGCCATTCATGGTAATACTGGATAATATTGGGGGTGGTTCATTATAGATTTATGATTTATTATTGAGTTTACCAGGTTTACCACATGACCTTTCTACATATTTGGAGAAGGTTGGGTAGTCCCTTGTGTGTTTGTGGGGTCAGGGTTCCATCCGATTGCAGGGAATTGTGCGGTACCCAAGTTTTGACACAGACCGATGTTTTTCAAAGCTTGCGGGTCAGACTGCAACCAACATAATTATGGCATTGCCAGTCATTGCAATAAGTTTTGATTCTTGAACCACGAAATGGAAAACCAGCGTTGCAAAATAGGGACCAATAGATTAATAGGGTATAAGGTGGGTAAAACAATAATAAGTCATCCACCAAATCACCATAAATAGGTTCTATAAATCCATTCCCAAATGGGTGGTTCATTATTGTTTTACCCACATTGTGTTGCAGTCCTGGTTCTCACTGTGTGCATTGTTCGACCCGCTGCGTTGTAGCACTTTCCACAACCAATGGAGCCGCGAGCACGGGTGAAACTTTGAGCAACATACCCATGACCTGCGACTTGAGATTGTTGAACAACAAATGCAACTCTCAAACAGTCAATGTATGCTGTATGCTTCATCGTCAATGATACATCCCCAGATCTTGCCGTGTGTTACAGTCACACGATGGACAAGACTCAAGAGTTATCTGAGATTGGTGGTTTCAAACATTATTTATTTCCATAATCTATGGGATAATCCTTCCCATTGGCTTTCCACAGCCAGTTATCCTGCCAAGTTTCCCTGGCGTTCCACAGCCGGAAAGCCGGGTTCAGCCCATGGATTCTTTATCCGTTGGCCCTGTACAGCAGCTTGGTCCCAAAGCATCAGGATTTTGCCACGGAAACATGGCAGAAATCATATTCTTACAGTGGGTCAGTAGGTGTTATCCATCAAATATATAAATATATATGATTTATGTAATTGAATGATCTTCAAGTATTTTCAAATGACCCCATGTTTGATAACAAACGGCATCTAAACAATTCAAAACATACACACACACACATATATATATATATATTATATTTATAATATGTATATATTCGTGTCATTTGAAGACAATTGTGATTCATCTCATATCAACGGTAGCCCACCAACATTGGTCATGTTTCGTGGCATCACCCTAGCAGGTATTCCTCTCTGGAAGCCGACGACTTTGATGATGCATCGGCGGCGGAAGATGCCGATGACGTAGCTGGGCAATGGAGGCACTGAATTCGTCATTTTTTGAGTATAGTCACCCCTATTTTTTTGATATAAAAAGTGAAGTGTCACTATTTTACAATTTACTCTTTATATTTTTTTTTGAATATCTATAGCATTGTAGTATCATGTAGTATGAGTATCAGACATGAAGCCAATGGTATTCCTATTTGGGTGGCTGGTGGGTTAATGGGTTTGATCCATGCTGATGGGAAGATTGCTATTAGGATTGGCAACAAACAGGGGCAAAACAATCCAAATGACATAATAACTGGTTGCTTTGTTCACCATCTGTTTTGATCGTTCTACATAACTTTTTACTCTTTGCACCTACTTGGTTGAGGCGTGTGTTTGTTGGAGATGCTACTCTTTCTGAGGAGAAGAAGCAGGGATTGTGAGCTTCACCATCAGCCCAAGCAGGTGTTATGCTTCCCTTCTCAGTCGTATAACCCCTTTCAGAGAAGGGCTCAAAGAGCTTAATGATATTGAGCCATCCCAAAAGTATTGACCCTCTGGTTCTTGAAATTAGCCGCCATCATCATCATCATCATCATTTGATTATTGATCATTTAGCTATCCAGGTCAAGCTACAGACATAGTTGCTACCCTTTCGCACCGGGGATATCCAGACCTGAAATTTCCAAGGACGTTGATGCTGCCACTCGGATGTGAGTTGTTGGACCTGCTGCAAGGAATGGAGGTTTGTCTCAAGATTGGGGGCGTTCAAAAAAGGCCTACATATATATAGATGTAGAGAGTCTGAGAGAGAGAGAGAGAGGGATGCATCCAATTGAGATGGGTTCTGCACAATCTAAATGCATAACCAATATCATCAACAGCAAAATATGTCAATATGTTGTAATGAACAATGGGGAGCACATGGTTTTCCATACTCCACGCCATTGATACCGTGGTGCAGCATGCCAAAGTGGTTTCGTTACAGTACCCGGTATCCAAATAGCATGTGTGGATGCACTTTTGTCTGCTTGAAGCCGGGAATGAAATTCCACAATGTAACAGACTATTGTTGACCGAAGTGCTTGTGGATCTCAGTTGATTTAATCTCTGGACAATTCCTGCACTTCTCAGATGCTTTGAAGAAGTGTAAACTAAACTAGTTCCTGGCACATGATTGACGTTCTTCTATTTTCAATGATTTACTGTGTACGTATCCAGTAATTTTGTGGTAGCCACGAGCCAACCGCTATCTTGAGTCCGGTTTGCCTTTGGATACATGAAGCGCATTGGACCATGATTCTTCCATTCTTTGAAACTAGACCATGGACAGTTTACAAGCACTTACCGAAAGAACGCCAAGCCACAAAGAGTTTAAGGAGCTCCCAAGATTGATACCGTGAAGCTGTCTTGTCCTGTTATGTCCAGTGATAGGCTGGGGCATTCGGACCCCAAAGCGCCGTACAGTACTACGTTTCGAGCGACTCAGTTGGGATGTTGAAATTGGGATGGATCAAAATATATTTTGCCATATTCGTGGGGGATGGACATCCATAACTACAAACTATTTGGGTGTTCACTAGGGCATTCCATGGATTTTGACCCATACCCGATATATGCGTGTATATATTTATATAACATACATATAAATATATTATACATATGTTTATTTATTCATGATCCCCATTTGGTTGCTATATTTTAGTATATTCCCAGTGTATTCCCACAACTATCCCATTATGTTCCTATACACCTCTCAACAAAACCATATATATATATACATAACCCATGATAATCCCATTATGTTTCATATCAACCCATATCCTATTCGTACTGCTTAGGTCAGCTAACAACTCGTTCTTACGTTGCGTCAGGTCGCCGACAGCCTTGCTGCCATGGGGCCAGATGTGGCTGAAGCGCCCTTGAAGGAACGGCTCTGCCAGGGCAGGTTTAATGCTTGGGTGGCACTGATGAAGTCACTTGGATGTGAACGAGTCGGATGCCGTAAAGAGGAATTGATTTGGGTATGCATCATATTAATATATAATAATATATTAATAATATATATAATAATATATAATAATATATAATAATATATAATAATATATAATAATATATAATAATATATATATACAGTATATATATATATATGTATACAACACCCCCCAAAAGATAGAAAAGCAAAATCCTACTGAAATAGTGATGAATCACTGTTCCATCTTTTTCTGGGTTACTATACATTTATATACGTGTGTGTGTGTGTGTCTCAGTTGTATTTGATCATTGATGCGCAACGTGTCTTCCAAGCACGATGGGTCACGATGTTCGATTTCAAGGTCTCGAATGTTTGGAGTCGGGACTGATGGTGACAAAGCCTACAAGGTGGTGCCCCCCCAGTGATGTTTGTTGGTTTATAAGCCCCATTAACTATAGTATCTATAGTTATAAGTACCATAAACCATAGTTATTGGAGTTATGTTCACCAACTTAGCTATCGAACGGGGGCCTCACATTGTAGGGTAGACCCTGCAGAATCGGCCTTGTGCCCAGGTTGGGGCACAACTCCCTTGTGCACGAGCTCTACAAACGCTTGGAGCTTCAGTCACATTCAGAGTCATGGCTGCACATGTGCGATGTTTTGACATATGATTACCATACAACGGCCCCCCAGCTTGGAGTTTAAAGCCAAAATAGGATCGGAGTCTGCATTTAGCATTTTTGCAGGGGCTTCGTGAACTTACTGTGTGTGTGTGTTGTTTTTTTTTATAAACAAATTCCAAAGATTTCAATAAAATCGCAGCGATAACCGATGTCAACTGATATTTTCTAGATTCCAATATTTCGATGTATTTCGCGATTCAGGCATCACTTGTGTGGATAGTTTGCAGGGGAGTTATGCATCATTTTGCTCTGCCCAAAGAGAGAAAACTGCTTCGGTGCGGGACCGGCCAGGTAACCCTGTCCTCAGTGCGCAGCGTTTGTGTGCAGTTCTCTATCGCGGGCATGCACCCGGGCAGCGTTTTGCTGGGTGCCAAGTTCTGTCTGATCAATGTGGTCGAACAGACTTGGCACTCAAGTTCTTGGACCTTGGGTCAATTGGCCGATGGCAAGGGGGTTCCAACTCAATATTTTGGGCAGCTATGCCAGGTGCTGCACAACTCAGACTTGGGGACACCAAGAGAAACAAACAGACTGCCCCTGCCTAAATCTACACTTGGACCTGTAGTGACATGGTCATGACATTCTTCATCCCATTGCAAAGGAGATCCTATTTCCTTGTTTTGACCGGTTTAAACCAACCAGTCAGCATAAGACATTCACATATAAAATTCTAAGTTCAACCGGCGGTGTAACGAGCCATGTCACAGGAATCCCATGGAATCCCTGGCAACGGTGGTGTACCGAGGCAAGGAGTCTACAAGCAAAGTTCTTGTTTCGATGCTTGAGACAAAATCCTATCGCTTGGGGGAAGCCCATGGGTTTCCCCGGGGGTTTCACCCTGCCTGAAAGAGACACACTTTTTGGAGTGGATAACCTTCCACTAGTTGTTGGTCCATGGGTCCATGTTCTGGACCTTGTTTGATGCCGCATATCATTGTGGCAATGCCACACGAACTTATGAAGGTATCCCATGGTATCCCAACTATATGATCAGGCTTTCCGAAGAATGACAGGTGGTGAGAGAACATTAATTATATCCATCTAATTAATTCTAATTATCTATCCACCCACCTACCCATCCATCCATCCGTCCATCCATCCATCTATCTATCTATCCTATCCATCTATCTAATCTATCTATCTATCTATCCTATCCATCTATCTAATCTATCTATCTATCTATCTATCTATCTATCTATCTATCTATCTATCTATCTATCTATCTATCTATTATCTATCTATCTATCTATCTATCTATCTATCTATCTATCTATCTATCTATCTATCTATCTATCTATCTATCTATCTATCTATCTATCTATCTATCTATCTATCTATCTATCTATCTATCTATCTATCTATCTATCTATCTATCTATCTGTCTATATATCTATCTGTTTATCTATCTTTCTGTTTATCTATCACTATCTATCACTATCTATCACTATCTATCAATCTCTATCAATATCTATCACTATCTACCACTATCTATCTATCTATCTATCTATCTATCTATCTATCTATCTATCTATCTATCTATCTATCTATCTATGTGTTAGTTTACATTGGGAGAATTACCAGCCAATCTGTGTTTCGCACTTGTCAAAAAAAACATGATACACGGTGCATACATTCATCGTGGACACTGCTTCAGTTGGGATGATCATGAATTCGGTGATGTCGCTGATGGTTAGGATTGGGGTAACTCCCAAAATGGCCATAGTATTATACATGATCGTATATTATCCATATTCCAGGCGAATTATTATAACCTTTTCCAGATTAATCAATCATATATATATATATATCCATATTATCCATATTATCCATATTATCCATATTATTATTATCCATATTATCATAATCCACACAGATTGGGACTCCGGGACTTCCCAAACTTTTCAACCCAGGATCCAACGTCCCCAACGTGGCACATGAACTCTAAGACGCAGTCAATGGAGCTGATTCCCAACCTGCTGGTCGCACCTTGGGATGAGACATGGAGGCTATCCACGAGCGTGGGAAATCCCCGCACTATGTAGGTAGCCATGGAGGTTTTTAGCTGGGACAATCATCCATTTCTATATGTACCTTCCAATGATTTCTGTTTTTTTGTGGGTGTGTGTTTGGGTTCTGCTGCATTACGAAAATCTAGAGACCCCTCACCTAGCAGGTGGGCAACAGCATAGTTTGCTCTCTGGTTCAAAATCACCATGCCCTCATTAAAACCCCACAAGCAAGAAATAAATACAGGAAATCCATTTGGGATTTCCTTGTTTCATTGTTTCATGGAAACAGTTGCGACGAACACGCTTTGAAACATTTAGTTTGCATAGATGTGAATGCCGGAATGCCTCTTTGCAAAACCTTCTCAAGGTATCAGAAAGCATGCCATAAGAAAATGTTGCGTTGCTTTATGTTTGCTGGTGGAGTCTTCCGGGACTGGTGAATGCTTCAAAGTGATTGACCCCCATTTTGGGATGTTGAAAAACAATGCTCCTAAAGTACCTCGAGAAATATTATAGGCCAGTTGGTGCCCCGGCTTGCCGATTTTGCCCAGCATAGTTATACGGTATGATATCCCAATCTTCTGGGGTATAATATAGCCATGGTTGCCATTGGGAATGCATCAATAACCTCAACATCACCCCCAAACCTATGGATGTTCAATGATTATTTTTGGTGCTGGTTAATGTTACGAATGGTTTCTAACGATAGAAATGGATACGCATGGGAAGAAAATACCCCAATGTCCATCTCCAAAATGACTAGAATAGTCTCTATTGGGACCGGGATGGTATTTTTTTCATTTTGGTGATGAATAATATTGACCATGGATTAATCACCATGAAAAAAATGCTGATTAATAAACATTACCATCCCAATATTAATTTGGGGTAGTCAAATCACCATCAATTTTCATATACATTGATATACAAGATCTATTTTCTTGGTGATTATATTAAAAAGTTACCATCCTAACACATCCCAACATCGATGTTTTTCGTGATTTCCCCTATGTCTCGGTCGGAGTTGCCGAAGGATTGGACCCTGGACGACGAGCTGCTGATCTCTTCGCGGCACTGGACCGCGGGGGCCGGGCCGGAGGCCAATGACGTGCAGCTGAATGAAAGCCGTTTGAGCGCCTGGACAGAGTCAGGACACGAGTCAGGACCCGGGGGTCTGAAAATGAAGTATCCAGGTATCCTCCCAATATGATGGGCTGATGTTGTTGTAATTTTGTTGTTGGCTAATTCAGTATATTCCACATGTTTATACCATTTTATACCTACAAACTCCTCTAGGCAGAAAAAAGTGCCTAACCTGCCTGTAGGCGTTTATTTCTGCCGATTCCCAGAATAAATGCCTAGGCCAAACAAAAAGCCGAGGCTGATATTTTTTTGTACGTTTTATGTTGTTTTAATAGGGAAGCTGATGATCATTATTCCACTGGAATTGGGGGTGTTCCATCGATTTTTTCAGAGTTTTTCCTTCGAACTTCGTATTTGAGTAGTTATGAACAAGAATGATGAGATCATTTGGGGGAAAACATTCCAAAAATGGTTTTCCTATGGTGGTCATTTCCCAACTATATATGAATTAGTGGAACAATCCAGTTTGAGACTTACCACTTAGTAGTTTGTGAGCAAGTCATAACCTATGGTTCTACCCCACTCAGCACACGCCTGAACACTGACATGGAACCCAAAGTTTGCCATTTCCAGATCCAGAAAACATTTTTCTGAACCTCATTCTTTGAGTTGTTAGGTTTTCCAAGGGTAATCGGCTGGCAAAAAAGTATGGTCCATATTCCATATACTCACTTGGTACTTGTTCATCATGGTTATCAACCAGTTAGGCAAGGGGATGAACTTTCAAGTAGACCACGATAGACCTTGAGGTGGTCCAAAGAAATACGATGGAGTTGTGGGTGTATTTTCCAAATCATATAAAATGGAAAAAATGGATGAATTGACAGTCTTTCTGTTACTTTCAGATGATCCATGGCGCCATGATTTTTGCACTTACCGTCACTTACCTGATAATCAAACATGGTTCACTGGAAAATCTCCCATCTGAGATGATATTCCCATTGAAACCTCCATTTGAGTTCGGGGATTTCCCACATGTTACCATGTTTTTCCTATTTAAATGTCCATTTAATGAAGGATTTTCCACATTGCCATGTTAGACGACACCGTGGGTGTGCCGTGAACATTGCAGAGGTGAACGCTTTGGCTCTGACACCATCACATCCCTGGGAGGTGGAACCGGCCAGATGAACATCTCGAAGCTGAACGGAAGAGAATGTATGAAATGATATGATATTATATGATCTATTCTATGCACATTTGTTGAAATCATTCTTTGTAGGTTTATGATTGTTTATGCATTTATGTATTGGGATGCTGATCTAGCCATCTAGCCATGTTTTTTTCATGGATTTTTTGGACAGTCGCCAAAATTCCAGTTGGATCATCAGAACTGGCTCCAGCGCTCCAGCTGCAGGTTTGAATCGTTTGTTGCAGTTCCTGGGGTTAATTTGCGCTGCTCCTTGGCAGCAGCCTGTAGGCCACCTGGGTTGCAAACTGGGTTCGATGAGATAGAGTAAAATATAGCTAATTCAACTACCCAATCAAGTAGGCAAATGACTGAGTCACGTCTTGACTAATGAAAATTTAGTAGAGAAGTGTATATACAGTACTTAAGTTTGGTTTGCTATGATTCTCTCTTGAAAGGAGTCCAGTCGAGCCAGGCAATTCGTCCTTTTTCTCTTGTTTTGCTCCTTTGGATACCCTTCCGAAACAAGTCAATCGACTTCAGCATAGGGTCAGCCACCCTACAAACCAGTCCTTGCTCTTTGGTGTGTTCAAATATGTGGGATGATGATTGTGGCACTCATAGTTTTCAGGCTGGGTGGCTCAAGCACCAGCTCGGGATAGCTCGGGTATGTCATAGCTTGGCCCAGGATGCTGGTGCACCAGAAGCCTACACCAGACACCTGCCCTTCGGCGGCTTGTCACATCGTATCCTGTTGGCTTAGCGTATCCGGAGGTTTGAAGGGAGCCTTAGGAGGCCGAGGCGGCCGGAAGTTCAACAGATGTTGATGATGTTGAGTCCCGAAAATCACATTTAGATGCTGATGATCTCGAGATGTTTTGAATTGTTTCGACATATGATAGGTTTTTTTTGATAGTTTTTACATGTTTTTTACGATCACTAAAGTCCTCAAAATGGTGTTCCGATCTGTTGAGCTTCGTTTCCTGACGGTCTGTGGAGCTCCAGAATTCGCATGCGTGGGAAAAAAGGGGTTTCGGGCACTGGAGCCAAACACCTAGCGGTCAAAAATTGACGACAGCCTCAAAATTAGGGATGTTACCAGCAAATACCACTACTACAGTTACTACAGCATTAGCAAAGCTGCAATTTTAGCAGCCTTTGGGTTTTTTTTCTCTTGATGCTGATCGCATCTCTGGGGGATCGTCCCGGAGGTGATAGATATAGATGACCATGTCATAAGTCGCACCACTTCACCACTGCATTATGTCACTATGTACTTACTGAATTTTGAAATTGGTTCATTCAAATCAATCAAACTGGTGGTTGTTTCATGTTGTTTCCCTTCCCGGAGTGTGACGATGCCAAGATGCTTCCATATGAGTATAGTAGATTTTAGAATCTTTAGATCCATTGCAGGTAACCTACAGGTGGTTGAAGAGTATTCCCAACAGCCGGGTGTATAGCACAGATGAAGCAACTGTTTGACATTCCCGTGCATGTCGGCTCAGCCACTGGTGTGGGCATTGTACATTCATGGAGAACGGGTGTAATTCCAGGTGATTGCCTCTCGTTCGAAATTCCAGTTGACCAGCCATCATCAACAGGTCAAAAACACAGATGTATTTAGATATCCACAACATTCGACAACATAAGAGGTACCCCAAGGAGCACGGATACTTCAATCTGTAAATGACAGGTGCATCACCTTGGGTTTGCTCAGAAGACCACAGTCAGATCCTCCCACCATGGGGGGCGGAGCTTCAAGTCAAGCGGAACCTCCATTGCCGCCGATCCGAAGGCGCACAGATGGAAGGGATAATGGGCTGTTCAAGCTTATTTGAACACGGAGCCCAGAACTTTTTGATTGGATCGTCATTTGGTCAGAACCAACCTCTTCCGACGCATAATTTGGTTTCGACCATTCCGAGGGTACGAAGACAATTCAGTCTAATTCAGTGAACGATGTAGCTGCTGCTTGCGCTAGAATCCCATAATGTGAAAACAGGATGGCCTCTGAAATGTTTGCGGTGAAACTAATCCCGTTTGAGTCCTTGAGATTTTCTCCAAAGATCTCCAAAGCATTTCTTTGTTTCAAGGACATGTGCAACCCAGGAGCGGAGTCCCTTGATGTCATGGTAACATATGGATATCATATGGATCATTCATCCTTGTGTTGATAGTTAGTATCAGTTGAATTTCCATTTTGATTTGTGAAACGTAACTGTATTTTGATATATTTTGATGTATTTTGATGATGTATTTATGAAAGGCGTTGGCTCTACAAGAAATCCCTATAAATCCCAATGGTTCCACTAATTCCACTTATATCCCATGAATTCCACTTGTTATCCCACCATTTATGGTTGGTTACATCATTTACAACTATATTTATATCATGTTATATCCCCATTGTATCTGAAGATGTTCATCATTTGTTCATATTTCTTCACGTCAATGTTCACCAGCTGTGCTAGTCATAGGTCCATTTCAGAGGCGCAGGCACATGTGAGGCCTGGGTCGGCCTGGGTCGGCACGATCCCATTGACAATTCACAGGGTTGCTCCAAACTACACAATGTAAATGTATGTAAGTGTAACTAGGAATCGTAGATAACAATCATGTAGTTACTGTATGTTATTGGCATATATTGGAAATAGTTGTTGAGGTGCTGTTCTAGGTATTCATGATCAGCCTCTGTACTCTATACTTAGCCAATGCAAGCCCCACTGCATCTGGGGTGTTGGGAGCAACCCTGATGAACATCATGTCTGGGATGGTGGTCCCATAAAAAAGATTACTGGTTGGTGGTCTGGAACATTTTTCATTTTCCATATTCTGGGAATGTCATCATCCCAACTGACTAATATTTTTCAGAGCGGTTGAAACCACCAACCAGATTACTACATGATGTTTCCAACTGTTGATTCCATGTGAGTTTCACTCAGGGTAAACATCGAAAGATCTAAACATCACAGCTGTGTCAGCTGTGGCACCCATTTGACTCATTAATCCAAGCTTCAAAGGATAGCTTGGATGGTTTGAGACGATGGCAGATACATTTTGGTGGCACAAACAGCACAAAGATGTTTATCGACTTTCAGGGAGAGCCAGGTTCTTTTTTTTCGGTCTGTCCAAGAAAGGTCACCCGGTATTGGCCATCTTTGGCCAATGCAATCTGTCATGGCCGCCATGGCCTAGGGCCGACTATGATGGCGACACGCTGCTTTCAGCCGATGTGGGGGGTACTGGCTCACGTGGATGTCTCAGATGATGGTTCGACGTGTAGCACAGACACAGCAAAAGTGATCACATCAAATGAATACAGGAGAACAGGATAGAACAGGTATTCGTGCGAACCTCTGTGTACAGACGGGCACACATAAGTGGATACTCACAGGTGGAATCTGCATGAATCTGCATCAAGAGACCTACTGTGTGAATCAAACTGGATCGGTGGTATTGGGCTATGGAAGGAGGAGGTCATCAGACTACCCATTTCGCGCTGCCAAACAGGTTTCCATTTCGCAGTCGATTTGAAGTGACTGATGGTACTAAAATAGACCAGGTCACTCAGACCAGACGCTTTTTTCGTACATCAGATACTCTTTCTATCCCTTTCTATTATTCCATAGGATCCATGGTGCTGGTATATAAATGCATTTCTTTTATCAATGATTTATAAGAATTCTTACCACCATCAACCTTTAGTATATGCTAACATAAAGGGGGTTTTTGTTGGGATCCATGGCACCCCATATAGCAGCCCCATGGATCCCATTGGTGAAACGGGACTGTCTCAACGGTGCCACGGTCCAAGGTTTGCATCTTTTTCTGCCGCCGGACACGACGCATCCCAAAGAGTCTGACTTCTTCGTGCGATGCCGCGGGAAACGTCGGGGAATTTTTGTCGGGTTTTTGGACGGCGGAAGATCAATGGATTCAATGGCTGGAACGACCATGGGCCAATGGGGGAGTTTTTTTCGGTAGATATTCCATGACATTCACCAGACCAAACTTATGTCAGATATGTTTTTGGGGTGCTGCAACCTTTTCCAATTTCCAGGTACATGATAGAATATGATAGATATGATAGCCAGGAGGGTAGGAATATCTATTATATAACTTGCTACTCTATTATTTACCCGATTTACCCCCCTTGTACTTCGGGGTTTGAGAGCAACTCTGTAAGGGGGGCAACTCAATCTCCTCTCAATAGTGATGATATGTGATGATGGTGGCGAGCTAGGGAACTGCTGACCATGGATAGTAAGTACCTCATGGCAATGAATGGACATCTTGGTGTTTTGCCGCAACAGTTGTTGCCTGGTCACAGGTACCTCCTGAGCGAATGATCTTTGAGAAACAGTGCGCATGATGCGCAGACCATGTTTGGACATGCTTGAGTAAAGACCATGTTTGCTGTAATGATCTGTAATGATCTGTAATGTGGTTGTTCGCCAATGCCATGTTTACCATCCCAAATAGAACCATTGGTATCCATTGGTTGTGAGGAGCCATTGGGTCAATCCCACATACGTCTGCTCATGGGGATGGTCGGCCAGGGGAATTCACGAGGCACACTGATTGCAGCCTTTGGTATATTGGTGGCGTCTCAAAATGATAGACTTTATCTCAACTCTGACAAACTCATCCAAAATCCCAGTGGCTGATCTAGGAGAGGAAGTGTAGAATATTGGAACTGGTTTCCGCTTGTCTCATCACCAATGCTTGCAAACGTGGGAAGGAAAGACCTGTAGATTGTGCAAGATGTCTCCATCACATAGAGTCGAAGGTGAGTTCCACTGTTATACTGATCCGTCCAACCCACTGAATTTTGGATACAGTCAGATAAAACGATCAATTGCAACACACAAGATTTAAAAGGATAACCGGCAGCATCGTGTCACAAGACATTGTTGGTAGTGTCCAACAATGTTTTTGATGTTCAATCTGGTTCTTGGGATGGTTATCCCATATTTATCCCAGTTGATGAAAACTGCTATGAAATGATTCGCCGGGTTTAATTCTTCGTGTTTCAGGCCACAGCCAGCCCAGTGCCAGGTACAAAAATGAACGCTTCGACAGTTTCATGGACGTCCTGAAGACTTTCCTCCGCGAAGCGGGCTTGGAAAGGCGGCCCTTTGGAGATAGTTCCTACGGTTCCTTCAAGGAAGGAGTGCCAAAATCTCCTGAAATCTGGAAAAATGTGGATAAATATGTGGGAAGGTTTTGAGGTTTTGAGACCAATCAAGGGATTTGGGGATGAGAAATCCCTTTCCCCTATTACTAAACCGTCTGCAGGCCTCCACTTCTGGCGTGTTTGGCGGTGGCCGGAGTTGCAGGGATCCGCGGAACCAGTTAAGCCTACACGGTGACTGAGATCTTTGTTGGGTGTACTGTTGTTCATATCACTTCCATATATACATTTTAATATACATATAATATACATATATATATATTATATAGTACATATATATATATATACTATATAAGTGTATATATATACTATATGTGATATATTATCATATTATATAACATGATATAATGTAATATGTAATATATAGTTTATGTTATATATTCTATGTTATTTATTTCATTATATATTATATTTATAATATATATATATATATTGTATTATATATTATATATTACATATTATGTTTATATTGTATTATACATATATACATATATACATATATACATATATACATATATACATATATACATATATACATATATACATATATACATATATACATATATACATATATACATATATACATATATACATATATACATATATACATATACATATATACATATATACATATATACATATATA